ATGGAAGCGGAACAATAAAAAAAAATAATAAAAAGCGACGCATTGTGGCGGAAGAAAATAGTCCCAGCCAAAAAAAATAGTTACCAAAAGGTAAGACCTATCCCTGATCGGGCCCTGTTATCTTTAACAGTTAACATTTAATTGACTCAACTTGCTTTAATAATCTTTCTTTCTCAAAGGAATGTCATAGGGGAAAAAAGTTTTAAATCTAACTGGAGTAAAGATATTAATAACACAACACTCCAAAAGAAACATTCACAATTAATAGAACCAATCAACAATCAACTGATCAGACCACACAAATGGAACTAGGTACAATCAAGAAAACGACGCATTGTCGCGGAAGAAAATAGTCCCGGCGGCCAATCACTACGATTGGCAAATAACAAGGGGGAAAAAATAGAAGAAAAAAATAATGCACAAGAAAATTGCAAGTAGGGACGGGGACACAAACCACTTCATCAGCGTGGGACTCATTAGCATAGATGCGCCAAGGCGGATTGACACAAATAACTTCAGCGTTCAGGTGAGTCACTATTTCTAATGGAAGAAGTGCGCCAATTAATTCTTAATGAGCTTTTTGTTAATTACAGTAGAGGCGGTTCGTTAGTCCGTTTTTGATGCATAACGTTTAAACAAATGAACCACATCCAATTATTCTTAAAAAGACTGAATATTTTTTTTTCCCCTACGCTTCTCCCTTCTCTCTATCTCTACCCCGTTCTTTCGTTTTGGAATTGTGCCACAGACATTATTAACGGAACTATTTTCTTCCGCAGTGGCAGAAGAATTTGCAAGATGTAACGAAGTTCCCTTTTCATTTTCTCTTTTCTTTCTTCTTTTTTTTCTTTTAAATTCATTATTTTCTTTGTACCGTTTAAATATTGGTATTACTGAGCAACGCTTAATTAAAGAGTTTTGATGGAAGTTGCAAATTAACATCATGGATTGAAAGGAAAGTATAAAAATAAAGGGATAAAAAAAAAAAAAGAACGACTAGATGAGGAGGGGGAGAGTGCAGACACCGCAATAATCATCGGTCGTAATTGGCTGGAGAGTGACGCGCTCTTATTACGAATGTCAAAAGTAATGATGATGCTCAAACGGTTTAACAGAAGAAGAAAAAAAATAAGTTCATTAGATGGCAAGTTAAATTAAAATGCGGAGAGGAAAAAAAAAAGAAGACTAGTAACGAAAGGGATGCGGAAAACTGATTCATTATACATTTGACAATTACACATTCTAGGACGGCAACATTAAAATTATAATTACTCTGAAAGTACAATTAGCAGTTTTTCATTAGCAAGCAGACAAGCAAATCAAAGATATACTACGTTGTGTAATTTGAATTTTTTTTTAAAGTTGAGTCACTAAATTGTTCGATTTACGGCAAAGTAATTAAAGTGACATTGTTCGACATAAATCATTTATTGTTCCTTTTCTAAGATAAATTTTAACTTCGTTAAAATTTTAAGGACAGCTTAACAAGCAAAACAAATAATAGAAAATTTTTTACTATAACAAGTTTCTAGAGAAACCAGCAATAAATACAAAAATCACATGTAATTACAAGAGCATGACAATTATTTTATTATTTGGAAAACATTATATCAGATAAATAATTATATAATATTAATTATACTTGTACTATTAGATTTATTAAAAGTGTTTCTTTTCCACGCAAATTTAATCAATCGAAATATCCTATCGAGATATATATCGAAATAGTCATATGAAAAATCCTATGAAATTAAAAAGTTGTTTCTTGGAGTTTCATTTACGAATAAAACGTTATTGGTGTTTTAATTGGTTAAACGAGAATAGCTGGTATTTACTGGTAAAGTCACAAAAGATTATGCACTGAAGCTGGGTAATAAATCGTAAAATATCTGTATATTTTAAATATCACGATTTATATTTTATTATGAGATATTTTGTGATTTATTTTATTAAGATATATATNTATTTACTGGTAAAGTCACAAAAGATTATGCACTGAAGCTGGGTAATAAATCGTAAAATATCTTATTATTTTAAATATCACGATTTATATTTTATTATGAGATATTTTGTGATTTATTTTATTAAGATATATATATATGACGTTTTCAAAATATATTTTAATGACATGTCGAAAACGCGTTTCAATAAATATAGAATATAAAGTAATTAACAATGATATTATCGCGATAACTATCGACAGCTACAATTATCGAGAACGATATCACTTCAAGCATATTTGTCGAACACTGTAATATCGTGGTGGTTACTATCAACAACGAAGAATATCAAATTAGACAACATCACAATAATTATCGAAAACGATACTATCGTGGGTGTGAAGCCTAACTCACCAGGCTTATATTTTACTGATCAATTTTTCAAAATTATGACTAATAAACATACATTTTCTTTAATTGTGTAACGAAAGTATCGCTCAAGGTTTAAAAAAAAAAAATTAGTTAAATTTTTAAAAAAAATATCGCGACAAATAGTGAAACACCTATACTTTTAACGATATATCACGACATAATTCCAATATAGAGTACTACTGCACTGCATACCTACCGAATCAGATTCTACAACTTCAGAGAAAAATTCTATTTTACATAAATTATTACCATATTTTAAAAGACAGTAAAACCATTCAAAAATTGTATAATTTATTATTATCTACTTATTATTTATTACTATCGACACTTAAAAAGAGAAAAATTCTCAACAAAACCGGTAAAAAATTTAACCGTAACATAGGTACTTCAAACGATGAAACAGTGCAAATCTCCAGCAATCTTAAAAAGGTATAAAATTTCATCTTGTTTTCGTTTAAGTTAAAGCATAATATCCTGCAATTAAGTTGAAGATATACTATCAGGGGTCGGTCCAGAAATTTTGTGAAAAGTCCGTTTTTGTAACATTGTGAAAAAATTACTCGTAATTTGAGCATATAAAATAAACGTTAAGTCACATTCTTTCAACCAGGGTCTGCTTTTGTGAATTTGTGCAAATGGGTCCTGTTATTGCAAAACACTTTTTCAAGGAGTTTTTGAATTGTAAAGACGTACAAGATTATGCTCAACACTGTAAAATTATAATAAAAAAAAACCAATTTTAAAAAATAAACAGCAATTGCTGCTACTAAATTAACGATGCAACATACAAATATTTGGTATTAAGCCTAGACTGCTGAACGCAGAATATTCATTTCGGACGAATAAAGGAAGAAGCGTCTGCCGAAGACAAAATATAGTTCGTTTACATCTGTCTTTCTCCCCCCCCCTTCTTGGGAAGGGTTTATTCGATTAACAAAACAGTAATGAAGATAAACAAATTTGTGAATGGTCCGATTAAAAGATAAATTATTTTGTGAAGGGTCCGTTTTTATGAAAAGATATTTTGTGAAGGGTCCGTTAATGGATCCAAATTTCTTCTAAACAAACGCCTGACTATAATACGGTTGAACTAAGCACCATATTAAGGTTACAGGAAATTTAGTGATATTATGATTCAACACCCGTCTAAGTTTCCATCAATAAAACAATAACAATGCTTGAAACGATTAAGTTATTGAATCGGGGATCCCACCTTCAAATTATTATTTTTTTTAACGATATAATAATAGCAATGAAAGATATTTACAAAATTATCTTAAAATAAATTTTTCAATTTCAGTACAGAAAAAGCAAAAATAAATAATGTCGTTTAGGGCATAAAACAGCAAAAAGAAGGGGGAAAAAAACTCAATAGAACCCATCGCAACAACTTCAAAAGAAAGAACAAACAGGCTGAAGATAAACAATGCCTCAAATCTGTTAAAATCCTCTGCTTCAGTTTGAAGCTTAGGGGCAAAACGTGACAATGATAAAAACGGCTTAGTCAAAATCTCTCGTTTTGAGCAAAATAAGGTAAGGATGTTACGGTCATATCTTTCCGAAATCAATGAGTATATATATATATAGCTTTAGTGGGATGAAAATCTTATTAAATGCTTGTTGCTCTCATTTTATTTCAGGTTCTGTTAACTAACTTCTCTTTATCACTTGTAAAGAATGTCATAAATGGTTAGGGAAGAGAGAAAAAGAAAATATTTATATAATGCCAACAAATAAATGTCTACGGAACTGCTCCGTGAAGAGGTTCCAATCTAAATAAACTTTACTGAACATCAACTTATAAAAAAAGCCCCAAGCTACACAATTTCGGAGTTCTCGGCTACACAATTTCGAGACAAAAGGTATGATGTTGGCACCATTGTCAACATTATGCACCGGTCGCTTTTATTTTACAGACAACCTGATACCTATAGATCTGAAATTGGGGGTGCAACTAGCTGTTACCTGGGAAAAAAACTGGCTCTACACAATACCTCAGTACCTTGATCAAAATCGCGGCTTAGTTAAACTTTTAAACGAACATAATTTTTTTACATTTACTGCTGTCATCAGAACTACACTAGTCTTTTGTCATCAACACTATTGCTCGTTACTACTGCTGTCATAACTATACCATTCGTTTGTCATCAAGACTATTGTTCGTAACTACTGCTGTCATCAAATCTACACTATTCGGTTGTCATCAAGACTACTGTTCGTTACTACTGCTGACATCAAAACTACACTATTCGGTTGTCATCAGGACTACTGTTCGTTACTACTGCTGACATCAAAACTACACTATTCGTTTGTCATTAAAACAATTGCTCGTTACTACTGCTGTCATCAACTATATTATTCATTTGTCATCAATACTATTGTTTCCAACTACTCTCTACCAACAAAACTACAGTTTGTTACAACAAATGTCATTAAGACTACTGTTCGTAAATAATACTGTCATTAAGACCTTTGTTCATGTCATCAGGGTTACGTCAAAGTTACCCAGTTCGATGCAACTGTTGCCAATCAAGACTAATAGTCGCCAGTAACGTTGTTAATAAAACTAACGGTCGTATTTGCTGCAGGCAATATTAAAATTTTATTATAAAATATTAAATTACTCACTTTTATTAAGCACTGCAACAATATCCTGGAGAATTCTAGATTCAAGATATTAGGACTATCATCTTCCTAAAAAAGAAATAAGGAAATTAAAATCAAAAAAATTAAATAAACAAACAATCAGTAATCTGTCTAAATGTAACGCAATTTAAAATTTGTTTGAGAAAATGGTTACAAATATTTAATGACCATACTTTTGACATTGTTTAATAATTAAAAGGTAAAGATGATATTTATAAACAAATGATTTAAAGGAATTTCTTTAATAGTCTAATTGCAACAGAATATAATTATAACAGAAGAGGAAAACTAAATATTTCTTAAGCATTGGGCTAGATTTTGGACTCAAAACCATAATCCGGTGCAACGTTGAACATACAAAGCAAAACTAAATTTTTAAAACCCAAATACTTCCTTATCCCGAAAAAATATTATGTACTAATGATAGCAATACGAAAATCTTTTAATTTTGGACATTCTGTCAAGAAAACTACTCTTCCAACCATAAATGACGAAATCCTACAGGAATTAATAAAGTTTAATTTCAAACAAATAAAATTATCACAAAACTTGCAGATTCTATGTTTTTGAAGTGTTTGCTGGATTTTGGACTCAAAACCGTAATCCGGTGCAACATTGAACATACAAAGCAAAACTACATTTTTAAAACCCAAATACTTCCTTATCCCGAAAGAATATTATGTACTAATGATAGCAAGACGAAAATCTTTTAATTTTGGACATTCTGTCAAGGAAACTACTCTTCCAACCATAACTTATGACGAAATCCTACAGGAATTAATAAAGTTTAATTCCAAACAAATAAAATTATCACAAAACTTGCAAATTCTATGTCTTTGAACCATAATCTGATGCAACATTCGACGTATGTGACACTGCAAAGCAAACATAAATTTTATCACACAAATACTTCAAGAAAAAGGGGGCAAAAAACCTATGTAGGAGTGATAGGCCCCCGAAAATTTTTTACTTTTCAACACTCTATGATGATAACTTCCGTTGGTAAGGAAATAAAAAAAAAAACAGCAGTTGCCAAAAACCGAAAGGAAATTTCCGTTCAATTTCCTTTCTAATCTAGTTGGATGTCTAAGTGGTTTGTAATGGCCGACATTTAAGAGGAAAACGGGTTGGTAAAAACACGGTGATAACCTAAAAGTTACCTCCCCCCCCCCTCCAAAGTCAAGAAGATAAAAGATGTGAGGGAACAAAATTTTTTTTTTATTCTTTTTCTACCTGGAAAGCAAGGGCAAGATTTGATTTTGTATTGAAGAGAACAAAAACGAAGTTTCAGTAGTTTTTAGATTACGGCTTCCGCTATTATGTTCTAAATTACTGAGATAGGAACAATTTTTTTTTTCTTGTTCAATCGCGATGAAAAGAAGTTAATTACTGCAAGTCTTTTCATCACTGAGATTACATATAAAAATACGTGTGTGAAGAGAGGATTAGTTGGTGTTGTCTTAAACCGGTTAATTTTGCGGCACATTTTAGACCGAAATTCAATTAATTGAGGGAGAAAAAAAATTCCATTGTTATAATGCTTTTTATACAAAGGATCGTTAATGTTATATCGCTAGAATTAGATGAGTTTATTTAATTATTTAAAGTTACAGCAATGCAGAATGTTAATAGAAAGAGCTTATAACGTTTCATAATATAGTACTTAAATGCTGAAATATGGAGCTCAAGCGAAAATTTTAAAAATTGAACAAGAACATTTGGAGAAAAAATATTCCCCCTTTACCCTGAACAATAATTTTATACATGCAGATAAAGTAGCATCTGTTAATAAAAATATGAGAAGTAAATTAGTGGGCGAAAAAAATCTTTAAAAGATGAAAAAAATAAATGCCATACGAATAAACATCAGTAAAAATCTTATCCTTCCTACCTATTATATGGTTGTATTACATACAAGATTAAAATGCATTCATATATTAAAAGATCTAGAAATATAACTCTAAGTTTAAATAATTCCTAAATTTTAAAAAAAAAAAAAATTAAAAAAAGTTTCTCATTAAAACACAGGGGAAAAAACGACAAAACTCTTAGTTCTAAAAATAAATCCAAAATCGATACTTTTCGGTTAACTGGCTGCAAGTAAAAAGTCGGTAAAAAAATACAGACCTCCAATAACTTTTTTTTTTATTATATAGATATAATTTTTTTTTTTAAGTGCATGAAAATTATATAAATTAAATAAAGAAAAATAAAAAAAACAAAATAATTTGAAAATTAAAATGAATGAAAATGAATTTTTAAAAAAAACTAAAAATGAATTTTTAAATTTCCTTGCACCTGGTTAACAGAAAAGGATCCAAAAAATCCTCATTAAGTAACAATTGTATCTAAAAAATTGCTGAAATACTACAGTAAATAATTGTTTGATAAATGCTTTTACTTAACCTAAAATTGTTATAACAACAAATGTGTACTTTTGATAAGTTGAGAGGGATCAGGATTAGATCCAAAATTCTGGATTCAAAAAAAAAAAAAAAAAAAAAAAAAAAAAAAAAAAAAAAAAAAANCCCCCCAAAAAAACAAACACTTTATAGTTTTATACACTTTCTAAAAGTATATAAAATTTTTTTAAATCAAACAGTAAACAGACGTTATGTTTTAATACGGCAGTGAAATCAAAGTGTTTGTATGAAACAATGAATTACAAACAAAAGGATTGTTTTTTTTCTCCCGTCCCCCTTTTGCTATCTTATTTTCTTATGGTTCATACGCAGGCATTATTGTAAAAAAGATTAAAAAAAGTTAAATTTAGGTATCAACAAACAATGATTGCATAAGATTTAATTTCAATACTAAATCGGGTACTTGCACTTCAAGAAGAAGACCACGGATACCCCACCCGTGTGACTATGACGTTAGCGCCAGCTGATCGTTTATAAACAAAATGGCGAGTTAAAGTTGAGTTAGGCTTCCTCACATAAGTTAGAATGTTAATTAACGTGAAGTTTATTAAATACAGCGCCGTATCGCACATCGAAAGTGCTGAAATATAATTTTTTTTTCTCGTCTACTTATTTTACTTATCTTAGATTTATTATTTCTGTATTTTATTGTAGCCGTGATATATTTTAGTTTCGTGTATCTGGCAACTTCGATGCATAATTTGTCTGCTTATGTTCCAAATTTTATGTCCCGTACGAGTGCCATAACCTTGAAAAGTTTCGAAACCTCATGGACAAGAAAACAAATCAGGGGTGGGTTTAGAAGAAATTTGAGTCCGTTAACGGACCCTTCACAAATTTGTTTATCTTCATTATTGTTTTGCTAATTGAATAAATCCTTCCCAGGAAGGACGGGGGAGGAAAGACAAATGCAAACGAACTAAGTTTTGTCTTCGGCAGAAGCTCCTTCCTTTATTCGTCCAAAATGAGTATTCTGCGTTCAACAATATAGACTAAATAACAAAAATATTTGTACGTTGCATCTCGAAAATAGTAGCAGCAATTGCTGTTTATTTTTTAAAATTTAGCTTTTTTAATTATAATTTTACAGTGCTGAGCATAATCTTGTATTTCTTTACAATTTAAAAACTCCTTGAAAAAGTTTTTTTGCAATAACGAACCCTATTTGCACAAATTCACAAAAGCGGACCCTGGTTGAAAGAATGTGACTTAACGTTTATTTTATATTCACAAATTACGAGTAATTTTTTCACAATTTTGTAAAAACGGATCTTTCGAATGTGATTGATCATAATAAAACTACACCCAACGCCAAAAAGAAACTTAATGCAATTTCTTTTTTTAAAAAAAAAGTTCATTTAAATTGATTTTAACTCAAGAGTGAAAAAAAAAACTATAGCTAGGAAAAAAAAGTTACTGAAGAATATAGCTCTATTATTGTCCTTTATCTAGAAAATACATTTTTTCTAACTTCTGCTAGATAGACAAATAATTAATCTTAGAATTTGAAAAGAAAAAAAAAACTAAGCGTAAATGAATCAATTCCCATTCAATAAAATATATTTAAATAATATCATTTAATATAGTTACTTTGATGTTAAAAAGTTTTCCATTTCTTAATGAACCAATCAATTTAGGATTTTTTCCCATTCCAGTTTTTTTCTTTTCCTTTTTTTTATTTCTTAATCGATAACACACCACACATCGTCGCCTTCCAAATACCAAGTTTCAGAAACTGTCGGCTTCCTTTGAACTCTAATGAGTGCAGTAGTTTGCCTCATCGGTTTCTTTTTTCCCTTTTTTTTCCCTTCCAAGAAAAAAAAGGGAAGAAAAAAAACATTTTTTCCCCATCCCTTTCCCCCACCGTCTTTTAATCCGTAATTAACCGCCCTTGTTGTCCCTTTGGAATAAAAAGGTTCTTTTTGAAGTCCTTAATTAAGGCATTATACCACTGTCCAGGTAGACCTCATTGTATAGTTGCATCCATAAAATTGAGGCAGTCATTTAAAATAATTAGGTACCGGGTTTTAATAAGGAATCAATGAGCTACGAGAGAGAGTAAAATAAAATTAAAGCTGAGAGGAGAAAAGAAAAGAAAGGAGAAAAAATTACAAATTAAAAGGATGGAGAAGCTTTAGGGAGGGAGGCCGGAGAAGAGGGGTTATGAAATTAAACGAATCTCAAGCATCATTTTTATATCTTTTTTTTATTCATTTTTTTTTTAAATAAATGAGAAAGTAATTCGTCGTGGAGTTAAGTGGTTCACTTTTTTATTTATTTTTTTTTCCTACTATCTTTTTCTTAAGTTTTTTTTTTTTAATTCTTTGTGACCCGGAGTTTCAGTTGTGGCAAATGTGGGATTTTTTTTTTTATTTCTAGTTAATTTTTATTGTATAATTGTTTCTTTTTTTCATGGTTGTCTAAGTTGGAGAATTTTTTTATCACTTTTTTTTTATACTTCTTGCAGACTGGGGGTATAAAAAAAGAGGAGGATTATTTATTTGATGCTGATTGTCGGAACAATTGTAACTTAAGTCTAATTATCAGGTGGTCGGGCTGTTGAACATAAAGACGGAACTGCGGTTAATTGTTCAGAGATTTGCTCTTTGATGTCATCATGCAGTG